GAGTATCTCTGCTCTTATAATAACACACACCAGTGAGCTCGCCCTCACACCTGCATGCAGACACATTATCACTGCCTCATACTGAGCTCGCCTCTTCCATCATGTCGGGCTTGCATCACAATAAGGAATGCTCGGACTTTGTGTCAGACGCGCCATGTCATTAAACTCATTAATGCAAGCTGTACATTAATTCAGTTTGTTTTGAACATGCTTCATAAAGCCCAGGTAGATTGGGTTCATTCCTTCTCTCGCCAAGCAGCAAGAATCCGGTTATCTTCAAGATGGATGGAACTCACTTATACTTTGTAATCACTGGCACAAATCATCGCCACGTTCATCCATCAACTTCTATGGCCGAAGCAAACGCCGCCACTTGCCATGCACCCACACACATGCTTTCTGCATACGTGACGACGCACAATCCACTGTTCAAACTCTAACACAACTAAACTGTGTATGTGTCTTTGTGTTTTCTATATATACTAAGTCATGCACAATCGCATACTGTATATGTACATGCCTCTACATTCATACTGTACGCTCTAATGTGTGTTAACCGCTTTCAACCGTGTTTGTGTTCGTGCTGCAGTTCTGTGTTGTGGAATGGCTGACATTGTTATCTTCAAGCCTTGCTTCTTGGTGTTTGCTTATTTCTATCGGGCTTACGCACTCACAAAACACAAACGCGCACACCCTTCGACGGAGCCGACTAATGTGGGTAACCAGTGATAAGAACTGTATCATGACTGAGCACATTTCACAGGGATGTAATGTACGCAGAACAAAGGGGAGTGGCGTAACTGTGAATCAGGAGTCTCCCTGCAAGCGATTCCTACTATCTTGGGATCTTTGATAGTGTATTGTAATTTGGTAACGAATAAACATGCATTTTACCTACATTTTTTTTTGTTGCTGTGTATTACTACACTTCTATTGTGCTCAGAAGCTCATTTTGGGGTTGGTGCCAGGGTGGGTAATATGGGTCGATATAATGGTAATGATAGTGCTGCATAGCTGGTGAAAAACTGATCAAGGTGCCCTGAAGTTGATGCTTTTGAGAAACTATTTCCAGACGAGTGTCCAAAGCCCATTTCATTCATAACAGGGCAGCTGTACTGCTTTATCTCTTTTGGCCTTATATATATATATATGTTCAACCAGAAGTTTGTATGAAAGAGTTCTGTCATTGAAAACGTCTTTAAATTTAAAAATTTTAAACCGAGAACAACTACGAAAATAATCCTCATTGTCAGAACTCTTCCATAATGGTAACATCTGTGGTTTCGACCGTGTCTGATATATCATATAATTCATGTAGACTTAGCATGAGAAGAGCTGGCACTTTCTTGTGTATCAGGTTGCTTTGGTACACACAAAACTGGCGACCTCTTATCACTATTTTTTTTTTTGTTGAAGTTTGTGGTTTGGATGGGAATTGCCAGTCTCCTCGTTCTAACTCTATGTAATGATGTGTGTCACTGTGGCTCAAAGCTCTCATATTGCCTTTTTTGTTTTGTTTTTGTAGATAAGTACTCTGTGTTGAGGGGTGTAGCGGGCGAGGGGGAGAGAGAGAGAGAGAGGGGGAGAGAGCAATACAAAATGGCATTTAAACATCTCACCTTTCCAGGTATATAAAGACTGTGTGAATGTCTCTCTGAGGACACAGCACAGAGCGACCTGCTTAACTGTGTGTGCTGACTGACTGCCATGTCTTTCTTCTTGCTCACCCCCCGCCCATCTGTCTCTCCAATTTACTTCTCTCTTCTCCACCTTACCATCCTTCCATCTGCCTGATCTTGTCTGTCACTCATCCCTTTTCTGACTCCGTCCGTCTGCCGTTTGTCTGCCTGTGCGTCTGTTTGTTTTGTTGTTTGTTTGTTTGTTTGTTTGTTTGGGGCTTGTTTTAATCTTCTCACTCAACTTGCATGCACACAAACACACACAAAAACCACATATGAATTACTCCACATCTCTCTGTCATCACCTCTCTTTCTGACTCTCTCCTCTCAACCCTTTCCACACACACACTCACACACACACACTTGCACGTCACACACTCACACCAGACACAGGCAGATGGCCCATCTGCCAGGCAAGCTGCCGACACGTGTCCTCACAGCCCCAACGAGCACCCTCTTGCCCTGGCCAGTCAGACCCAGAACCAGAACCCCAACACTGGCAACACCACCGCCCCCACCGCCACCCATTACCAGCCCCCAGCATGCTGCGACATCCCCTGCGCTCTGATCGTGCAGCACTCCTACGAACCCGCCAACCCCTCCGAGCTCACCCCCAAAATGAGAATGACCACCTTCACCACCTCACCTCCCACCCCAAGGTTATACATACAATAGAAGATAGAAATAAAAGAATTGGTTAGTAATGCTTGAAGACAGATGCTTTTTTTGAAATGTCATGATACATGAATGATAATTTATTAGGAGAGACGACGGACATCAGGGAGCAGGGTTCAAACTTTGGTATTTGCACGATAGCAAAGCTCTCTGCTGGAAGCATAAGTACCTCTTTTTTTAAAATGTTTGTTTACCTGGCACGTTGCCAGTTGACTATATGTGCAATAATGCCTTTTCGCCATTAGAGGGTGCCGTCTCTCTATGTAGAGGCAAGTAGAGTATCATCTTTAACCACACAGTTAAAGTTAAATGGTATGTAAAGTTACAGATGCAGGTAAAAGTCTGCAGTGAAATATTTATTTTATGTTACGTAGAGATTATTGCAAAACCTCATATTCCTAATGAAGCCAAAAACCGTTCTGTGGTTTTAACTTGGCTTTCTTCTCCAATTAAGGCCTTTTCATCACACAGTGATGTGTATTTCATACATTTACATTTATTGCTTTATTTCTGTCATTATAGATTAGGATTATTTGGAGGATTTAGTGGAGGAAACCTTTACATTTTCTCAGTAATATACAGTGGGTGCAGTCAGGTCCTGCCACAAACCTTCCACCTTTCCATGCCTTAGACCCTTTTGCTCACTCCTTGTAGTCACCCCTTAGTCTCCTTTCACAGACAGCAGACTGACCATTTGTGATTCACTCTTCTCTTTCACCTCCTTTCATTTCTTTTTAATACCAACTCTACCCCTACAATATTCCCCTCCTTCAAACTTTTAGTCTGTGTATGATAGTGTCGCGACAAACGTTAGTGCCCCCTCGTCCTCTCCTTCCCCCCACTGTCCCTCCTTTAGATGCTAACCAGAGGGAACCACTGCTGGTCCCCTCTGCCCGTGAGCTACACACAGTAGGGCCAGAGCCCCTCCAGAACCCCCAGACCCAAAGGACACGGTCAGTAAATCTGTCTTTACCCCCCCGTCCCCCCCCAGTGATGTGACACACCAACTTATGTGAAACCCTCACGCTATCCACCACCTGCCTCTAAGACTCCTCTGAACACCTGCACTTACCTCCCATAAACCTAGAGAAGCACATTGCCACATGTATGTGGACAATGCACAAAAAAAAAAGAAGTGTCAAAGTTTTGGAAACTCTCCACAGCACCTTCTACCGTTCACCCGAGTCCTCTCCTCTCTATACGCTCACCTCATTCATTGCAAACTGAGCTGCCCTGCACTACTGTCCACCCTCCCCTATGCAGTGAAAGCATGACACACCTCTCACTGAGTGTTACCATCCTTTAGACTATGTGGATAAGTTATTCATATGTGAATATAGACGTATATAATGTATGCTTTGTAAATTTTTTTTATAAGTTTCATTTAACTTATACTGTAAGTTAAGGCTTAAGTTAATGTATGTTCTGTGTTTTTTTAGGTGGAATTGCTAAGATTGTTAAAGCCATGTTTTAGTTAGATCATCTGCATTGTGCGACGCAACCGATAAATAACAGCAGCTGTAGCGGTGAATTATGTCCCAGTATGAATTCACTTGAAAATGAGATGTCAATCTCAATGTGAATTATTTTTTTTGTACAGTTATCATAATGCTATGTAAATAAAAGGAACCAGAACAAATCTATATATATATATAAATAAGGTACTGTTGAATACTTGGACTGTCTTCCATAGTATAAGTTGCACTTGAGGTTTAACACTAGATAATGTATGGTAATGCTTGCTCGATAATAGACCTAACACCCTGGAATCCCAGAGCACACAGCATGACGGCGGTGTGTTTTATGTGTGTATTCCAGATTATCTGCACCCCCTTAAAGACCTTGTAGAAGTGTGTGTATGTTTCTCTTTTTTCAATATCCTGACCACAGCTCAGAGTGTGCTTCTCTATCCTTCCCTCCATCTTTCCCTTCCTCTCTCTTTGCACCACCCTACTTCCTGTCACATCCATGTTTCCCTGTCACCATCAAACATTTATTACTTTTATTTCTGCGTCACTCTCATTTTCACACTTAACAATTGTAATTATCACAATTTGAATCTCATTTTTATTTGTGCCTTTGTTTGGACATGTTTGCGCATTGTCTTGCCCTCATCACATCACCATCTACTTTGTCCAACGCCCTCCTCTTGGTTTTATAATTATCTTTACTCTCCATTTATGCTGGTCGGATGGATGACATCCCTACTTCTGAATACACCCCATTCTTGTCCCCCTTTTTTGAACTATATCCTCTCTGTACATGCTCTGCTCTGTTTCCTACATTGCTCTCTCCATTTCCTTACTCCTCTATTTGCTCTACCTTCGCTCCTTTTCCTTCATTCCCTTTATCTTCCTTCCTTCCTTCCTTTATCAAACATTCCTCAATTTGTCCCTCTTATCTTCCTTTTCATCTCCCTTCTCCCACATTCTCATCTCTCTTATCCTGCCCTACTGCTCCCTCCTCCCAATCTCCTATCCGTAAACACCGGATCTTTTACCTATCCCATACCTTTCCCATCCTGCCTTTCCAACATCTTCTTTCCATTTCCCTTCCTCTCCCATGGACGTCTCTCCCCTTCATCCATTTCCCATTGCCACGACCTCTTCTCCGTTCTCCTCCCTCCCCGCCCCTCCCCACCTGCAGGACGATAAGGAGATCGACCTGGAGCACCTACACCGCCGGGTTAACAGCTTGTGCACCGAGGATGAAAGCCCCCACAAGCAGTTCTCCACCTCTTCCGTCGATTTAACACCCCTTGACATGGATGCGCTGCCCGCTGCTCGTCAGGCACTCGAGCAGATCAGCGATTTCCGCAACACCCACATCACCACCACCACCTTCATCCCTGAGCAGATCCAGACCCTAAGCCGTAGCCTCTCTGCCAAAGCCGCCGCTGGATTTTCTGCTGGTTTCGGTAGCGGTGGCGGAGGCGGCCTCCAGGACCACCGGACTGGCGGGGTTGGCCCTTTCCGGCAGAGGGCCCCCAATGGTGGCTTCTTCCGCAGCCCCATTAAAACAATGTCCTCCATCCCGTACCAGCCCACAGGTCCAGGACCCAACTTCGGATACGGCAATGATCCAGACAGGGGCACCTCCATATGAGGAGCTGCTACAGGATATGGTTGGTTTCGAGAGTAGAAGGAAGAGGCGAGGTGGTTAGAGTCTGTCGATGGGGTGGTAGAACAAATACGTTGCGGCTAAGTGAAAAAGTCAGAAGATAGGAATGTGTACATAGGAATCTTTCTGTTTTCAGTTTCTGCTTGGGTGTTTCCGAGGGGTGTCTATTTTGTTCTCGGAGAAAACGAAGGAGGTGGAGGTCTGTTGGGGGCGTTTCCTTATCCTCCTGCAAATCATGCTGGTGAGGTGCAAGAAGGGAGAGAGAGAGGGTAGGGAGGGGCTTGAATCTTTGCTTTATTGTTGTTGTTCTTGTGATTGTTTGGGGGATTATTTTGGGGGATATGTGTGAAAGGGGATCTTTTTTATTGTTTGTTTTACAACATGAGGACTGCCTCGTGTAATGGAAAAATCGCTGAAATGACCTGACTCCTACTACTGTCTGAACCCCCCCATCGGAGGGTTTAGTTTATACTAGTCCAACACCAGGAAATACTTCTATATTCTTGTTAGCTCGAGGGCTGTTATCGGTGGATAAGTGGCGGTCTCTTTAGCCATGAAACAACTCCAAGGGGCTCTAACTAATAAGCAATTATCGGGCAGTTGTTTTGTGGAGGCATATATAACATATAGTTTTGTCTGTAGCCCTGGGAATACATACAGCAGCCCCTTGTAGTGTTTTTGAAGAGGCCCCCATCTCAGTGAATATTGGAAGATTCCTCTTCTCCAGTTTTACTCTGCCTTTTCACTATGTGGGAGTCCATACTCAGTTTTCTCTTCTCTGGTGTTGTTTCACCAATACCTGGGGTTCTAAATGTGTAATCATCTCCGAGATGGTGTCCACACGGTGGCCTGACTAGACCTAAGACTTTACAGCTGAACACATCCTGACACCTTCGCGGTGCATCGGTCTGAAAACTGTTGAAACGCCATGACAGTGCAACAGTATGACACTGTAGAATCACCAGTTCGGTGCGTCGATCTTAAACTACTTCTGCCATTTTGGTGCATCAGCTTGAAACTGTTTTCACCATTTTGATGCACATTAAACTCTTTGTCAATCCCACTGCACTGTACCAGTGCCCACAGACCTGTAAGTGATTGTATGTAGATCTGACCTTTTCTTTTCTCACCTGTACTGTGCTATCTGCTTTTCAAGTCAAGGTGAGATCCTCTAATCAGACTCTCAGAGGTATAGTAAAAAGGGATGATATTAAAAAGCAGCTTAAAGACTAAAAAAGAAAAAAAAGGAAAAAAAAAAGAAAAAAAAAACATAAAAGACAAGCTGAAAGACTTCAAAAAGCTTATGCTTATTATATGTCTTTTATTGAATTTTGTTTTTGAAAAAAAAAATAGATTTTAATGCGTGGAATGTGTTTTGGTCAGGAAGTACAAAAAATAACATTGTTCTGAGCTGTCTAATTGTTTTTTTTCTCTCAGCAAACTTTGAAAAACTGCTAAATGAGTGCTGTAGTCTCTGGTTTTGCATCATTAAGTCATTCAAACTTCTATTTTTTTTATTTTATTTTTCTTCTTTGTTTCGCTTAATTTTTAGTGCAACCATGGCCCGGGTGTTTTAAAAGATAAAAGCTCATTCTGTAGCGTCATGTCACATTCAAGTTCATTGATCACTTCTTATCAGGTTCAAGTGGTGAAATGGAGTCGATTTTGACGTTGAGGAGAAGCCATTGCAACAGCATCTTCAGTACAGGCCTTATATGTCAACTAGCTAGCTGTAACCCTCCAAACTTCCGGTCAAACCCAAAATATCAACGTGTGCTGGAGGCACGTAAGAGCAGCGGATCGACGGTCGTGCTTGTAGGAATGTCTTGGAAGAGTCAACGGCCATCGAAACCCAATGGCTGCCTTTTACGCGATGAGTCCAAAATACACTTCTATTTCATATCTCTCATGTTAAGGGTACTGTTTATATAACGTGTTTTTTTAAAGTGCCAATTAATTAAAAATGAGACCATTAAGGTGCATTTTGGGGGTGGGTAGCGGGGAGCGGTACATCAAGAACATTAAAAGGAATATTTTGTGGATTAGGGGGTGGGGTTGGTTTAAAAAAAATGGAACCAAACTTTTTACACTAACACTGTATTAATAATTGATAATGTTAGTTGTTTAGAACAAGTTTTCAGTTTGTTATCTTTAAGAACTAAAACTGCAAAATGTTGTGTGTAGAGAACTCAGTCAAGCCACAGTGTTTTGAAGCAAGCATTCTTAGGCATTCTTTTTCTTATATTAGTCTACAGTATGGCTATTGAATGACAAATAGGACACAGACGTTTAAAAATTTTTATTTAGTATAAATGAAAGAGACATTATGAAAAATGTATATTTTACATGTTGATGCTATTTTTGTTTAACAAAAAAAAAAAGAAAAGAGTATATCATGTTGAGCTTTAGTGTTGAGTTGAGCAGTCCCGTTACTGCGTTTGGTTTCCCCCCCTGTCCTGCCCATGGTAAACATAAAACACATACACAAACTTTTTTCGCTTCTCTCATGCCATCCTGAGTTCATTTTTTATTCATTTGCTGGCTAAATAACAAAAAGTGGCAAGTTCACTAAAAAGAAAGCATGCACAAACTTGCTGTTTTGCTATCTGTTAACATTTTTAATTTCATGCATAGAACTACAGGATTTACTTGATAATTTTCAAAAATTTATGATGTACAGTATTTAATATAGGCCTATTTTGTTGTATGTGTTGCATATTATTCAAAAACCGAACAAACTGGGGCCTCTGTTACAAGTGGCAAAGCTTTCTGTGTATAATTTGTCTAATAAACAGGTTTTCTACAGTGGGATGGTATTTGTTGTCTTTGCTAATCTAGACAACCGCAGAAATAAATGTCGCAATTCAAACCAAAAACAACAAACTGTGAATAATCACTGTTGAATTGTTTTGCTCTGTGTGACCTTTGACATTCCTCGTGTGTCTCCAAATATATACTCCCTGAGGTTTTTTCTGTGAATAGAAGCTCGACAACCAAAACAATACTTTGTGAATCACCTGCAGACTTCATTGTACAGTATTGACTTATAGTATATATGGTTTGTCTTTATTCTCTTCCACTACTGTTGTCTACAAGTCATAGCCTGCTGGTAAGTCGATGCAGATACTGGTAAGTAGCCATGCTTCTCTTTTTCTTTCCTGTTATTATTATGCCTTTTTTTCTTAATCAAAATTAATCATTAGACTGCGTCACTAAAAAAAGAGAAAATCCAGTTTTTTAAAAGTTCAAAATTATAATAAAGAGTAGTCTGTGGGGAGTTGTTAACTTAAGCCAGTGTAATTTTTGACCTTTATAAATTTTAAAGAACTCCCTTGATCGAGAACAGGTAAGTAAATGAAATCCATCGATGCCGCGGGATGCCGTTTAATTATGAAGTGATTTCACACACCTACCAGATTTAAGGATGGAGAACTGGGTCAAAGTTAAAGGAGAAGGGATGCAAACACCGACCGTAACATTTTAAATGAGTTTTGCTGATGTGAGATGATTTTTATGTGCGGAATAGATTTTAAAGTTCAAGCCTGAGCTAAGCTTTTGTGTCTTTCACTTCAAATAGGCTCTCACTTCAAAGGCCTGCATGCTGCTGTTAACAGCTGGATAGGCACTCTGCTGAGGACGACTGCTGTCAAGTTCACTGGAGCATTGCGCTGTAGTGGCTTCTTTTGACCAGCTAGTGGCGCTGTTTAGATCCCTCTGAGTGTCTGAGATCTTTATGTTGCTGGTGTGCAGTTTGTGCTCAATGACAAGGTGAACAGGAGTCAGGCTTTGTCAAAACTGTTGAAAATTAAAGTAAAAAAATCATTTATTCGATGGTAACTGAACACGAGTGATTGGCAGCCGACTTGAAAGGAAGCAACACATTCAGCAGCTTCATGTTACTGATTTTAGATTTTGTGTTTTTCAAAAAAAGGGAAGCAAAAATCATTCTCCGCTGCTTTTTTTGTTGAAGCTTTGCCAGCATTTAAACTGCTGTGACGGATGTTTGGAACAAAGCTATAAAAAGTTGCATCAGTGCAAAAGCAGCAATGTGGAAACACTTTGTTATAAGTGGCCTAAAGTTTCTGCATTCATACATTTACCAAAGTAAAAGTGTTCTGAGAAATATATATATATATAAAAATGATATGACTGGATCAGTAGTGATGCACAGGAAGTCAGAAATAATGCAGGTACTTGAGATGATGTTAGAGTTTATGGGCATAAATGTTGATGGAAGTGGATGGATGAGTAAAAAATTAGAACATTTTTTCCTTTTCATGTGTACTACTAGAGCAAATGTACTTTATTTTCCACTACTGTGCCTATTTCTAGTAGATTGCACTTATATACTCACAAGATTTGTATTTTTCCTGGTGAGTGTGCCTCAGAGACGAGAATCTTTGCTCTTGTATTTTTGGAGCACTTCATCTAAAACAACCGTGGATCTGGATTTAGTGAATTACACAGAGACTACAGTTACGTTCTGAGATCCCTGTCCAGCTCCCCTCACTCCAGTCTCGTGCCCGTCGCGCCCCGGTCTCCCGGGAGATGGGAATGAGAAGGGGCAGCACGCAGACTCCTCTCGCGCATTGGAATGGGAGCCCGCCCCTCTCCCTCGAGGAGCCCCCCAGGCGTGACCAATGGAACATAGAGTCTCCATTGTGGCCGCGACACTTTAATAATCGCCAGCTACAATATCCAACCTGTCGGTAGCTTCAGGAGCCCGGCCCGGCCCGTTGGATGGGGGGCTTGTAGGTGGGAAGAGGGGGCGAACGCTCGGCGCCAGACCTCTAGCCCGCAAGACGTCCCCATGATGAATACATGAATAAAAAATAGAAAAGATTGATGTCGGGTTATCTCCCGAAATTGTGGGATTTCTCCCCACAAAATGCATTTTCCCACAATTTAGAGTTAACCCTTAGAAGTCTCATTTGTGGACCGAAACCCATAAGCTACTTTAGAAAGCCTGTTTATGTGTCACTTATGATTGTAAACAGATTTTGTTTGGCTATTTTATGTGACCAACAAAACGCCTGGACTAGACAAAACTTTGCCCCTCTTGATCAATTGTGCCTCACACATTGCGCTGATGTATTTAGTCCAGACTATATCCTTCTTATTCTAAATCGACCGCGGCAATTAGGCCTAATAGCCAATTTAAACCCAGCAATTAGCCCATTGTTCTTTAGGCCTTAAAGTTTGCATCTCAGTAAGCGTGGTAGCTTTGATCAGCAGGCTGCAGGTGGTTTACCCACACAGCTGTAATGTGGGTAAAGTTTGTTTTTCCTGCCTGCAGCTTTACAGTCTTTGCTCTCGGCTCTTATTCAAGTTGCCCCTGACCAGGAGGTGTCTGTGAACGGGTCTCTAGCTCGAGTGCTGAGGTCTAAGAAGCTGATATTTTACATGTGAGCTAGAAATGGCCTCTCCTCGGAATGATTGGATTTCAGGGTCAATCGGTGCAACAATAGCTCTGCTAGAGGTCAGAGGTCATGTTTTCAAAAATGCCAAATCATGGCAGGCAGGGGCAACTATACCTCTGTACTGAGGGTCCTCTAGATCAAATATGTTAAAATAAATGTTAAAGTTAAGACTGGAAATAAGATCAGTTGTAGCTTGTGTAGTGTGTCAGAGTGTGTGTGTGTAGGTGTGTGTGTGTGTGTGTGTGTACCTCTGCAGCTCGTGTCAGTAGGCTACAGAAACAGTGTTGAGCGCGAGACCCCTGCTCATGTTTCCGTTCCCTGTGAAGCCCTGTTTTACCGACAGGGCGTTCCGAGGGCTGGATCAAAAGGTTTTAGAGCCGCTACAAAAGAAAAATGGAAACTGGAGATGATCTTAGAATGAATGAATTGACAATGAGCGCGCGAGCCCCAGGAACTACAACATTTTTTGGCTTTATTTCCTCCCCCCTCAGCTGGCTTTTGGTCAAACTTTACTCAGCCAAAAGACTTTCTACAACATGTTCAAACTTTTGAGCCACTGTTGAGGGACGAAATCCTAAAAGTTTGGGAAGATTTGGGGGAAAAAAATATATTTGTTTTACACTTAGCAGATAGTGGCTATTACAAGCCAACATGTGTGATGCACTTTCTCCTGCTAGCTTAGCATCAGGTGGGTTTTGGTGGAAAACTTTAATCAGGTTTCAGTGAGGAACATTCTAGACTAATCAAGGAGGCAGATTAACCCCCTTGAACCAGTTCATTCCCCTCTCTCTCTACTTCCCCCTCCTCTGTCATGTCCCACATGGAGCAGGGACAGGTCGCAACTCTGTCCTGTGCATCTATGTGCGTCTCGCGCTGTCCACGCTCCCTGCCTTACTTGCACGTGCGTCCTGTGGGAGGGTCCCCTTACCTCCCTTTGCGTTAAACACCCCTCCGGTCGTAACGTTATCATAAACAGTCCGGGGCTTCGGGGGGCCGTAATCACCTCTCTCGGGCTTTACCGAGACTTCTCATTGGACGTCAACACGCGACCAGCGCGAGGAGGGGGGCTTCCAGACGCGTGCCGCTTTTTAAACCGACGCCGCGCCTCGAGACACCAGAGAAGGAGTCCCGCACGCGACAAGTCATATTCAACACAGTGCGACAGCAGAGCAGCAGCGCGCGCCTCCGACAACTTTTATTTTCCCATTTTTGTTAGGAAGCAGTTGTTTTTTTGGGGGGGAAACATGGATGTCCTAAGTGTTGAAGACTGGGGCAAAAGCGCACGGGAGGTGGCGGTCCTGGAGGCGCGGCGGCAGCACCTGGGCTGCGGCAGCCCGAGAGCTGCGGACAGAGGAGGGAAGCAGCAGCAGCTCGAGGAGTCCCGCTACGAACCTGGACTGACGCTCGTGGACAGCGGCAGTGACCCACGCGCCTGGCTGGCTCCGGCTTCCGGCACCTGCGCGGCACACGCCACTTCACCAGAATACCTGCGGCACTCGCCGTGCCCGAGCACCGGCTCCTACCACGGTGAGAGAGCCGCTAATAAACACTTGAGTTGAAGAGTCAGTGGAAGCTCTCATGCAACAGGCTGAAGCTGCTGAACAGGCACTAAAAGTTGAACATAGAAGTAGCTCTGCTCTTTATGTCACACAATTAAAACACGTTTATGGATTAATTATTCAGTTATTATTGGTTGTTGTCAATAAAGATCAGCTGCTGAATTTCTGTTTTCATTTTCCAGAGAGTGGCTCCCCGGGGTCCTCGGGCCATCCCAGCCCTCCCAGCTACAGAAAATCTGCCAAGAGCCCCTCCTCTTCCTCGCTCAAAGTCAGGGACCTGTGCCGCCTTAAAGGCACCATCAGCGGGCCCGAAGAGGAGGCCTCCATGAGACAGAGAGCCCCGTCCAGCAAACCGGCCAACGGGATCCAGAGGCAGAGGCGAGTGGCCGCGAACGCCCGCGAGAGGAGGCGCATGCACGGACTGAACCACGCGTTTGACGAGCTGCGCAGCGTCATCCCGGCGTTTGACAACGACAAGAAGCTCTCCAAGTACGAAACTTTACAGATGGCGCAGATTTACATCAACGCCCTGGCTGAGCTGCTCCAAGGTCCGGTGTCCTCTTCCTCTAGCAGCAGCAGCAGCAGCAGCAGCAGCAGCGACATCTCCAACAGTAACACCTCGCCAAAGTGTGACATTATGCTTTCATCCACGGTTGGTTTTGACGGGGCGAAGGACAGGGCTGCAGCGTCCCCGGCGACCTGCAGGACGGCGGTGGCGGCCGGCTCGGGTGGCAGCTTACCTGTCCACCTCAGCGGGATGCCTTTCCGTTCCTCCTTCGACGAGAGTTCGTTTTCCGCCAGAGTCGAAGAAGCGATGTGTTCGCCTTCGCCCTCCACCCGCGCGGGCAGTTCGCAGTTCGGGAGCGAAAGGAAAGAGTCTCCCCGGAGCGACGGAGAGTTTTCCCCGCACTCCCACTTCAGTGACTCGGATGAAATAGCGATGGAGCTTCACTCGAGTGAAGAAGATGATCTGTCAGAACTCAAGCTGCCCACCCACCACCACCACCACCACGCCGTCTCTTTCTAAAATAATTATAAATAAATCTAACATAGACTCCATTAAAGCTCCACTACAACTAAATAATAAACCGTGTCAATCATCCTGCCGAGCCTGCTGCAGTCTGTCTGTCGCTGACAAAGAATGAATTGCCTTTTCAGAAAAAAAAAGTCATCAATTTTTAACAACAAGTGCATTTTTATCCACTTGTTGCATCGTCTAAAGATTATTTTTTATGTGAGATAGGCCTAATTCGGTTCTGCCAATACATTTATATCCTATAATTTACAGTTTCCATGGAGACGTGGCTGGAAGACCCCTCTGCCATGTCGCGCGTAGCACTGCCATGGGTATTTCCCACGTCTCCCCAACCAAAAAAAAAAAGAAGAAAAAAGAAGCTGTCTTCCACAAAAATCACATGGATAACTGCTTATATTTGATAATGTAAAGACGTGTTTTTGTAGCTATGACATGAGTTTTGTTGTGATTTATGTTTTTCACTGATCATTTGTTTGTATAGGATAATGTATTTTGTTTTTTTTGCAACTTCAAAAGTTCATAATGTGCACTTTAAAAATATACGAGAGCCAGAGGCTTCAGAAACGAGACTTTTTGTTTTTCAAACCATAAACAAATATAGTTTTGCTTTGTTTGCTAGCGTAGTACTGCCAACTCCATACAAATAGCCTATTTAATGTAGCCATCATTGCTGCCTTCTTTTGTATTTGTTTTCTTTTGTATCTTCACATGTGTGTCGTTTTTTGTTTTTCTTTCACTGGATGAGATTAATTGATGTATGTAATGTATTTATTGCTGATATGTTTAATTTGATTTGCTTTTTTATAACTTCATAGTTTAAAGTTGCTGGAGGAAAAAAAAGCAATCATTTTTTGCCATTCTTTGTTATGTTCATTTGATTTTGAAAATAAAAAATGCAAACGAAAATGCAATTCTGCTTTGTGTAATTTGTTTCTACGCATCTTTAGACCAGAAATGATTTAATCGACAGTTCAGCCAAATAATAATAATAATAATAATAATAATAATAATAATAAGAGGGAATTGTCGATATTTGTTATGTAAATTCAGTTAAGATCATATTAAAGCTTGTTTAAAACTGAGCTGGCTGAGTTATTTTAAATAGAGCAAATGAGAGAAAAACGTTTTAAATGAATGAATGAATGAAATACAATAAATAATGACAAAAACTTTACTAAAAAGATTAAAAGTAAATAATTTCAGGCTACTAACTGACTTTAAAAATTGCATTGCATCTAGTCTAACGAAATTCCCGCATGCAGCATCATGACTTTTACGAATATATATAAATATATGTATTTTTAAACTTGCCAATAAAATGCTCGGGGCCTAAGTTTTAGGGGTTGATCAAGTGCAGAGAGGCCTACAAGTTTCTTCCTTGACCACCGAGGTGATGTGGTTAAAAAAAAAAAAAGGGTATCTGTTGCCTGCAGACACATAAGCACGCATTTTCACTTAATTAAAGAAGCTTTCAACACTTGATCTCCCTCTTATGTAATTTATCGTAAAACTAACAGCGACGTGAAACGTGTCCAACACGCGCTCGTTCGCCATATGCTGCGGGTGCACGCGCCCCCTGGCCCTCTGTCCTGTGATTGAACGTCAGGAAGAAAAAAAAAAAAAGCTGCAACAACTTCGAGAAACATTAAATCATCGTACAATGTTGTTTTCTGCGCGATAAAGTTCCCCACACTGGTGGACTGCAAAACTTTTTTTTTTTGTTCTGAACTGTTGCCATGTCTTCCATTTGGTGAATACCAGATTTGTTAATGGGGAGTGTGCATTAATTTCAGCCTATTGTTGGCAGGCTCGTGGGCCGAGGTGTTGGATGGCCTCAATGAAGCACGCGCTGTCAGCTGGTGAGCGCTCGCGGGTCCCCACCGTGTCCCCGAGGACCTGACTCGAGAGGGAACACACTTTCTCAACTAAAGAAAGGCCTGGGCACACACACACACACACACACACACTGAACACACTGACACACACACACACACACACACGTTGCTGCACCTCGTCGTCTCCACTTCTTTCTTTCTTTCTCTCCATCAACTCAAACAAACACACGTGGACGCAGACGCGCGCACCACACAGGATCTGGCAACCCGTCCTGCTGCGTGACTCAGGCTGAAATGAGTTTGTTTGTTTGTTTCCTCGCTCTCTTTCACTCCAGCCACTATGTTTTGGACAAAAGGTGCCACAGGAAAGAAAAAAAAAGAAAGAAAAGAGAAATAAAAAATAAAAAATACTTTGAAATAATTGATGACCGTGAGCAACCTGTTTGCTACCTGTCACCGCTCCGTCTCCCACCCACTGCTGTCAGCCAATCACAATCCGTGCCCCTTCGCTCGCCTCCTGAACGCAGGGAATAAAGGGGGAATATAATAAGGGCGCTGCGTTAAATTATTAACACAATTTATGCACGTGGAGCAGTATCTGAGTATGATCAGACAGCCATCTGCGGCGAGTTCGTTTTGCGGTGAAAGGCGATCGAGTTTCCGTCAACATTTTTAAAGGGAAACTCGGCAGATAAAATGCTCCCTGTTGGGTTTAGGGATCCGCTCAGTGCGCTGAGGCCACAATGAAAAGGCGACAGAAATACGCGCTGTTGGTTTGTGATCAGGTTTGAACAATCAGTGAAACTTTGGGTAATATTTCGTCAACTGCAGGTTAAAAATCAAACGAGATTTTTCATGCATTCTGCACAAAAAGGCTGCTTCAGATTCTAGCGAAAACGTTTGTTTTTTATTGTCTTAATCATCAATGTGATATGCAAATAGGTAAACCCCCAAATGTGGGTAAGATAAGAAATCCACAACCGCATGTGGGTTTGCATGGTTTGCATAACGTGAGATTAAGTGCATGATTCACCGCAAAAAGCACCTTCTGATTTTATTTTCTATTTGATATCTGGAGTTTTTATTTATTTAGTCAGTGTATTGGCCCCTGCAGAAAGTATAAATATTTGGATTTGCATTTTTTGATCCATTTCTCCTGAATAAATACTTTTATGTTTTATCTGTATGATGGTGATATAATATTAGTCACTGCAGGCTTCTTTTTTTTTTCTTTAACCGATGGAGATACTTGTAGAAAATTGCGGGTAAAAACAGCCTCTCATCAACAGGTGGGATGCTGGGCAGGTTGAGGTTTCACCGTTTCACGCACATTAATAATTTACGCACGGACGTTATGAAAAATAACAACAGAGTGGTGGAGTTAGGAGAACCTGAGACGCACTGACGCGTGTGGATACTGTTGTAAATATATCAAAAAGAAAGAAAGAAAGAAAACGAAAAGAATAACATCTAGAACAATGTAAAGCTTAACTTGTCCCTGCTACTGTTTCAGCTCAACTGCATATACTCATTCAAATGTCTTCCTGCTGTCTTTGGAGGGTTTGTTTTTAAGAGAAATTGCTCCACAACGCCAGAAATCAACATTTAGATGTCTGTCCCAGTTCTGTTCTTTACTTATTTTAGCACATTTCATAACACAAATGCAGTTCAAGTGGCAGAAAGAAGCCCCTTCATGAAGAGAAATGCAGCTTGTTTTGGCAAATAACTTGGGCTTAAGTGCATCAAACAAAATGCAGCCACAAGCTGCACTGACTCTATGATCTATGAGCAAAAACAGCAGCACCAGAAGAACAAAAAAAGTAACATGAAGGTGCATTCAAGTATTTTTTTTCCATTAAAAACAGGAAGTTGCACCAAGAAGTTTAGTCAGAGGTGCATTCAACACGTTTTCAGCCTCTGTAGTCACGCTCATTTCAATAAACATATTCAGAAAAATGTGCATTCCCCAGCTTCCTTTTTTTTTAATGAAAAGAAAGGCACTTGCATTTTGTATGAGATATGGGGAGCCGAGCTGTGTGCTGTCCAAAAAGCCACTGGTCTCTCTGGGGACCCAGAACAAAAGGCAGAACTGGGCCATAGTTTCCATCTGCTGTCCCAGAGAGAGAGAGAGAGAGAGAGAGAGAGAGAGAGAGGGAGAGGCAGAGGGAGACAGGGAGAGGGTGGTGAGTGAGGACACCATGGGCAGATATAGAGACAGAATAATAAGTGAGAGGGAGGGAAAAGGGAGAGAGAGCAGAGGCAACAGGGAGCACGATGGGTTGTTGTGGGGAGTAAAGATAAATAAGATCAGTTGGTTTCCTTTCAGTTCGGCTGACTGTAAAAAGGGCTAACAACCATAGCTGCCCCTTTGTTAAATCTTACCCTTAAATTAGCCTAAAGCCCTCACCTCTCATTAGCCACCGCAGCCCTGCATTATCATGTACTGTAGCGTAACCATGTAGTGGTCACACAAACGCACAATGCAGCTGTGGCACAATGAGCACCTGTTGCACTGCATGCTCCGACTCAGCCGTGCTATTAATTGTTAATGAGCTTCGCTGGAAGTGCTCACACACAGTTGCACAAATTGCAGCATTTGTCACGACAAAGTTTTCTTTTGTGTGATGTTACAGAGAAGTTTCTTGGGGGGGGAAGCAGAAACCTCATCACATACAGTCAATTAGAATCTACATTGGATTCTGATGAACACGAGCAAGAGGAACCTGCAAAACTGGGTACAACATACATCCATTAACTGTACCTGCCTCATCCTGTAGAGGGCTGGAGCTCATCCCAGGTGACTCTGGGTGAGAGGCAGGATGCACTCAGCACAGGTCACCTGCAGTCAGTGCTGTTAGAAAATATCTTTTCTGGAAATACTTTGGGATATTTCATAAAAAGTGTACAGCTATGTATTTAGCCTGTAAAACCATTATGCCCCTTTTGAACATCTAGATTGTTTTCTCCTGACTAGATCCTCGCTTGTGTTGCATCTGCTCTCGGATGTACATCGCTTTGGATAAAAGCTAAATGAAATTGTAGAATATCTGCTGATTGTTGATGTATTTGGTTGTAATCTTTAAGCATTACTTTGTGAATCTTCTCGGTCTGTGTACATTTTTAAGCAACCATTAATTTGTTCACTTTAAATTTGAA